CCAAAACGATACCTCCCAGACCTGCAAAACGATAAGGGGCACCATAAATGTTTTCCACCATTACCACAGACAAGTAATTTTGACGCCAGCTCATATAGTAGTAGGTAGTTGCCCTGCATAGGGGGACCCAAAGATGGCCTCAAAAGGGTTTTAAACCCAGTCGTTTTGGATTGGTTTCAGCTACTCATCTGACATGCCAATACCATTTTTGTGCAGGTTTTTCGTCTGGCAGCCAGCGGAGATGCCCTGAGAAGTAATGGATCAAGATCCAGCCTCCCAGTATTGACGGTTTAAGGTTCAGGGTTGAAGGTTTAGGGGTTAAGGTTTAGGGTTTAGGGTTTAGGGCTGGAGTCTCCAAAGAGCAGCCAACAGTGTTAGATGAGAAAGCCGACTGGGAAGCGGGACGAAGGATCCTTGGGCGCGAGCTTTCACTGAGAGCAAAGACAGGAGGGTGAAGAGCGTAATTAGTTAGGGTTTAGGGTTTAGGGATTTAGGGTTTAGGGTTTAGGGTTAATATTCGGTTATTACTACGATTGCTATTGTTATTATTACGACTATTATTAGTCTCATAGCCAAGCTTTTCATCCCAAAACCCAAACCCTAAAACCCTAAACCCTAAATGGTAGTTTCCATTTTCTTTTCCATTATCCCAATATAACCCCAATATTACCCTAATATCTAGAGGGGAGTTATAGCCCTGAGACCATGCTAGAAAGTCTTCATTCAACGTTACTGTGCCATGCTGCTAATCTCAAGACCTGGTTTTCCTGTGTCTCAACAAGTCCGCATAATGTTCAACGTAGCTGCAAGATTCATAGTGGAAATTGCGGCCAAAGAGGCATGTTCCTAGTAGCCGTGATAACAGCGCTGATGATACTGCTGCTAGAAATGAGAACATTCCTAAGCATGCCCTAAAGACGTCTTACAGGAATTACGGCAGTAGTGCCGCACTGTAGCTTCCTAGAAGTGAAGACTTGGTGACGGAGCACCTCCCGCGGTAAAAGAAGGGCATCTGACGCAGGTAATTCAATAGGATGATGGGGGTGCATATGGGGGTTTCCCAAAATTAAGGGTACCATTTTGGGGGTCCTTATAACTTAAAATAAGGACTATAATATACTGGGCTCTATATTGGGGTGCCCCTACTCTGGGAAACCACCGTATCGAGAAGCCCATTTCGTGAAAAATGTCGATTCGAGCATGCAATACCTCAAGTATCGACGTGGCTAGCACGTCCTGCGTAGGCATGGGTAGATGGTTATAAATGAGCCATAGTCTAAACTCCTAGTATCCCCCTTAATAAACCTTATAGTAGTCCCTATATAATCCCTTATATAAGCCCCTTTGAGGAGTTGAGACTATTGCTCCAACGTGGTTGCATATTCACCAAGTTCTCCATGTGATATGCCTGGTAAGAAAATCTAAGCGCCGCAGAGATGCAACTTTGCAACTGCTTGTCGTGACTGAAGGAAGCACGTTTCGGGTAGTTCCCAAAATAAGGGTCCCGTTTTGGTACCCCTAAATATTAGGTGCTGCAATATAACCTATAACCAAAAGGGGCCCATAATTTTGAGAATACGCCTTTCTGTGTCTCGCTGCGCTAAGGCAGCGGGGAGCCGTGTACGAGCGCTCATGGCTCAGTGTCTCTGTGATATCAGCGAAGCCAGTAAAGCAGTGATCCCCATGCTGAACAACAGATCCCCACATCATATAACCCAAAATAGTAGTTTCCATTTTCTTTTCCATTATCCCTATTTAACCCTATCATAATAGAGTAGTTTCCATTTTCTTTTCCATTATCGCCATATAACCCTAAACCCTAAACCCCCAATATAGCCCTATAGCCCTAGGTTATTTTTCCACTATTCCTGTATAACCCCAATATAACCCCAATATAGCCCTAATATATCGCCTATATACCCTTAATATAACCCCAAGAAAGCTGCAGGGTGTGCCAAGGTCAGTCAGTCTTCTTCGAATATATAGTGTTTAGGGTTTTAGGGTTTTAGGGTTTAGGGTTTTAGGGTTTTAGGGTTTTAGGGTTTCAGGGTTTTAGGGTGTAGGGTTTAAGGGTTATAGGGTTTGAGGGTTTTAGGGTTTAGGGTTTTAGGGTTTTAGGGTCTTAGGGTTTAGGGTTTAGGGGTTTAGGGTTTAGAGGTTTAGGTTTAGTTGGTGATGGTATCATGAGCTTCGAGCGTTAGTTGCCGAAACGAAGCTCACAGGTGGGCCCTCCTTGTTCCACAGCTCACAACCATTTCGGCAGTAGCCTCAGACCCTCGTCCCACTTCTGACCGTGAGTTTCTTTACAGATATTCTAGCCCACCAACACGTCCCCGCTATCTTACCCCCCAAAGAAGCTCCAAACCCAAACTCCAAGCATTTACACGGCTAGTTTAGGGGCCTAAATAATTACCAATATGAAGGTTCCACATATTCCTCCTATAATTATAGTATATGGTACCTCAAATGGACCTCAAAACGATATTGGACATTATTTAGGCCCCTGTAGTCGAGTTTTCAGGCTTGGGCTTGGGGGAAACCTTGCTGGGTGGTGAAAGGAAGTTCAGTTCAGTGCAAGGGGTGTCCTGGAAATGAGCATTGTCCGGCTTGGAAATCCGCAGTGGTGATATGAGCTTGAGTCTAAACTCCTTAAAGGGGGTTATATAGGGGATTATATTAGGGCTTAAGACTATAGCTCGTATGAGGGTTGTTCTGGGACCCTTGCTTTGCTTTTACATGGCAAGTCGGAGTACTGGGTTCCAAGGCGAAAGATGTGCGAACGTGCGGCGAAGGGATTTTCAAAAACAGAGATCACAAAAAATCAAAACAGGTATGCGAAGGTCTTGATTTTATTTTTCTTTCCGTGGCTTGC